ATATTAATGGAGTTGGAGAAAAGGGCAAATTCACAGAATGAGTGACTGTCAGGAGCCAGGGAGGGGGGCAGTGAAGAATAACTCCTGGGTTTCTGATTTATGTGAGGAGAAGCTTTTCTGAAGGGAGCAAAGATGGTAAGTTCTATTTTGGAAATGCTGGTTTGTGTCCTAAGGATCTAAGGACAGAGGTCTGGACTGGAAATGGATTTGGGAGTTATATGTTTGTAATCATGGATGTTGATGAGGTCACTCACCCTGTGAGTGTGGAGTGAGACGACAGGAGGAATGAAGATAGAATCTTGGGACCATGTGAGTCACGGGAGGCGGAGCAGTGGAGACGTAAGCTAAGGGAGAACTCCGAGTGTCAGATGCCTAGAGAGTTCAAGAAAGTCAAGTGTAGAAAGAAAGGTTATTTGGATGTTGCAGCAAGGAGGTGATTGTTGACTTAGATGAGAGTGGCTTTGGAGGGGTGGTAGAGGTGGAAGTTCCCACCTTTCTGAAGGAATTTTCAGAAATCTTAGTTGGGAGGGGAGGTAGATTCTCTACCTCTGCCTGATATGGAAGCATGTGCAATGATTCTTCTCCTCATAGTGGGTGATCTATGAATCTATGCAATACCATTTTCCTTGATATTTAGGTTTATATATACTGTATTAGATTTGACCCTTAAAGAGCCTCCCTGGCCCTTGTTTGCTTCTTTTCCCTGACACCATTGTATGAAAGTGAGCATGGGAACAAAAGAGAGGAAGCAAAGTCAAGAGCAAGGCAGGAAAGAACGAGGAAGACCAGACAGTTCCTGAGGTGATTTCTTGCTGCAAAATTCAGAGTGAACCCTTTGTGCCTCCTTCTGTGCCTTATATTCAACCTGCTACTGCAGGTAGAGAATTCCACTGTTGGAGTTTCCTCCCTGCTGAGCTGAGGGGGGCTCTCCTACCCCTCCCTGCTGCTCCTAGAACTGTCCACCCATTGCTGCATCCTTTCTGCACACGCCCTCATCACCTGCTCTACAGAGGAAATCAGTCAGCATGCAGGTGCATGCACCTCTCTGTTGCCTCTCACCCCTTGCAATATGCTCCTGTCCATCTTGGATATGTCCCTACTTCTCTTCTGTGTGTGTGTGTTTTAAGAGATTTTTGCTATAGGGTGTGCACACTCGCGGGAGAGATGGAGACAGACAGAGAGACAGAAAGTGAGAAATCAACTGCAAGGGGGATGGCCATGCTGCAGTCCCTTCTCCATTCTCCTCTTGGGATTTGGGGCATGAACGCACATGCACCCAGCATGAATTTTAAGATGCCAGGTCTGGGACTTCAACTGTGTCCGACTACATGGGATTCCAGCGCCGTGACCATTATGCCATCTGCTGGTCCCGCCTTCTTGTCTTCTAACTTGCCCTTGAACTGTGGTTTTCTGGCACCCTCCTCAGCCTAGAAAGCACCTTAGGGGACCTTATCTCCTTCATAGCTTTAAATCTGCCATCAACATGCCCCTGCACACCAGTTCTCTATATTGAGTCTAAACCTATCTCCTGAGTTCTTAAACTTTTAAGCTTCTTTACTTGAGGCTTCCATAAGACCTTTAAATACAACAGGTTAACTCATCTTTCATCATGCAAATTCATTCCACCTTGTGTAATTCAGTATTGGATTAATCTAGGAGAAAATACCTAAGTTCTCTTTAAGCACAGTCCTTATATCCATTGACCAGTAGGCCCTTCTTCTTTCTTATTTTTTTTTAAAGGTTTTTGCCATAAGGTGTGTTTACTAACTGGAGAGAGAAAAAGAGAGACAGGGAGAGAGAAAGTGAGAATCACTCCCCAGGGCATGGCCATGCCACAATCCCTTCTTCTCCATTCATCTTCTGGGGTTTTGGAAACGCATGCACATGTGCCCAGAACGATTTTCAAGCCACCGGTTCCTAGACTTGAACTGTGATTGGCCATGTGGGAGTCCAGTGCTTTAACTACTACGCTACCTGCCAGCCCTGACTCTTTTTCTTTTACCTCAGCATTTCTCCCATGCATCCCCTATTCTGTATCCCTGCTGCTGTCATCTTAGTCAGTGTGTCCTATCTTGCCTGATCTTGCCACAGTGTGCTAACCAACCTTTCTACCAGTAACTTGCCCCCTTCCAGCCCATCACCACAACTCTGATTATGGTTCTTATCTGTTTAAAACCTTCCCCGTGGTTATCCTTTGCTGTCGGAATGGAGCTGAGCTCCATTGGCATCAGGCCTATCCTGATGTGGTCCCACTCTCCCAGCTGGATTTCTTACCGCTTCCTCATGTGCAGCCAGTACCCAGCCTGTGCTTTCCGCAGCCTCATCTCTGACAGGTCATCGAGCAGCCAGTGTGCTGCGTGCTCGCCTCTGCTCTGCCTGGCGCCTTTCTGCTCATCCTGCCAGAGCGGTTACGCTTACAATGAGGTCTGTGTAATTTATCCACAAAGAATTTCTTTCCTCTTCTTACCAACCTGTCAGCTTAGAGTCATAGAGTGCTCATTTTTGCATTTCAGATGCTTCTTGGATAGTGTTATTAACTTGGTCATGCTCAATTTAGGATCATTTAGTTTTATCCTCGGATCATTGACTTCCAAAATATTCAAAGAGAATATTTTATTGTGAATTTAGATCTAGTACAATTAGAATGAAAATGCGGAACTATTCTAATGGAATGTGAAAATTGCCACCTTAATTACTGCAGGTGTAAAAAGAAAAGTAGAAAAGAATTTAGTTCTTATGTTTATGTAGAACTTACTGTAATAAATGAAAGATTTTCATATGAAAATATCTGTTGAATGCTCTGACTATACACATAAATTCATCAGCCTTGTAATGTGCTTTTTTCTATTTTCAGCAAAATCCATTTCTTGACCGTTCAATGCTTTGTGAGATGTACAAAAAAGAGGTACACAAAGCTTTCTAACGAGATTTGTGGGTCTTTTCTAAAGGTAATAAAAAGGAGTTATGGTTGTAGTACAGAGAGTGTATTAAAATTGGTTGTAGGATTTTTCAGTAAAAATCAGGGATGCTTCAAAAATTTTAGAGAAATACATTTCTTATTGATATTTTTGTTTTTAAGAATACAACTATATAAAATGATCAGAATTCCAGGGCCTTTTTTCTTTTTTTACCTTTTTTTTTTCTTGTGGTAGAAAATAGCATTTCATTTTGGTTATAATTTACTACCATCTTTTCGTTCTCTCGGAAAATATTTTTCATTTGGGCCTGCTCCATGGCTTGGTGGTTAAGGCAGCCAGAATCCACATGGCCATCCTGCAGTTCGAGTCCTAAACCCAGAGGCTTGAGGAATACATCAGGCACATGTGTGTGTGCCCAAAAATCCCCAAAGGAGAGAGAGATGGAGGAGGAAGGATTGTGGCATGACCATTCCCCATGGGGGTGGGGTGCTTTATGTTCCCTCTCTCTGTCTCTTTCTGGAAGATGCACGTGTTCCCTGACAAGAATTAAAAATTTTTTTTTTCACTCTTCTGAGTTTTGGAAATGACCATTACGGCAGTGTCCACCAGTACTAGGAGTAGAAATGACACCAGTACATCTTTTACTACTCATTATAAGGAAAAACCAAACTATCTTACGCTTATCCTCAGAGCTACATTTTCCCCAGCCTTCACTGGGAAACCCTTTCGGTTTCTACCTACCAACACTGTTGGCCATAAAATCATTCTTGCAGTATATAGGTTAAGAGCAAAATCAGCAAAGCCGGAGTCCTACAGCCCACAGCACGTGTGAACGGTAAATAGCTGCTCAGTTGTCCGTACATACAACACAGGAGCACCTGGCTGGATGAGTTCACCCCAGCAGCACCCTGAGGGGAATGTGATTCAATCAAATGCCTTTGGAATCTGTATCCCCTTCAGAGACCCTGAAAACAAACTGCATAGACAGTTGATTTCTGGAGAGGAAACCATTTATTTATAGTGTAAAATAATCCTGAACAGGTGTTCCTACTTCTTTGAAAAAGGCAAAATGGTTTCTTTTTTTTTTTTCCCCCCAAAAAACCCTTTATGGGGCCAGCAGATAGTGTAAGGTTAAGGTGCTACGCCCCAACCTGGCCAAATATGGTTTGAGTCCCGGACCCATGCTGGGCACATGTGTATGTGCCAAATCCTGAGAGGAGAGTAGAGGAGCAGGGATTGCGGTGTAGCAGTCCCTGGGGAGGTGATTTCTCACTTTCCCTTTCTCTACCTCTCGCTGTCTCTTGGGCAAGTGTACATGCTGTAGAGCCAAAATTTCTCTTAAAAAAAAAAATCTTTAGGCTCAGCAGATGGCGTAATGTTTATGTTATGGAGTCCCATGTAGTCGACAGCAGTTTGAGTCCCAGATCTGGTGGCTTAAAACTCATGCTGGGTGCATGTGCAAACATGCTCAAGATCCCGAGAGGGAAACGGAAGAGAGGGGATTGCGGTGTGGCCATTCCCCCTGAGGGGTGTGGGGGGTGATTTCTTGCTTTCTGTCAGTGCACCCTATAGCAAAAATCTCTCTAAAAAAATCCTTTAAAGTCATGAAATACAAAATGCATACATGAAGTGTATAAATCAGTGTTAATTAATGAGCACACAGCTCGTACCTGCGGAACCCTCATTGCTCACGACAGAGAATGATGCCAGCACCTGTCCTCACCGCCTGCTGCGCCGTGTCCCCAGAGCTACTCACCATCCCGACTAGCAGGCTGTACAGTGTTCTGCTTGTTCTTTGTGGGCTGCACAAGACAAAGCATGGGGCTGGGAGGTGGGAGGGGCATGGCGGTGGAACTGGAACATGTAGTATCGGTATCTGGGTTTTTAACCATTTCTCTCATAGGCCCCTTAAATCTAGGCTAGAGCCCGATGTAATATCTGCTGCCCAGACTGATCTGTGTAAAAGCTACAGCTGTGCAGTCCCCCCAGCATACTGAATTCTGAACGACCCATGTGAAAGCGACCCCGTGGAGCTGACACGTATGTGATGCACGGTAGTAACTTGTTTCCACACAATTCCAGGACGTTAGCTTATTGCCAGTGGGTGGACAATCTCAATGAGACCCGGAAGATGCTCTCCCTTAGTGGTGGTGGTCCCTTCAGTAACCTGCTGAGGTGGGTCGTGTGCCACATAACCAAAGGAATTGTGAAACGCGAGATGCACGGCCACGGCATTGGCCGCTTCTCAGAGGAAGAGATTTACATGCTGATGGAGAAGGACATGCGGTCTTTAGCGGGGCTTTTGGGTAACGTACCATGCCTTCTATTCTCTATTTTATATCCTTACATTTTGCATGATTAGTTAAGTACTGCCGGTTTACAGTTTTGTTTTATTTTGGTGGTTGCCTTGCTTCCATGTGTAGGTTACAGTCCTGCTGTTTAAAGAACCCCCCTAGTTTCAGTAGCGCATGTCTTTCTTAATCAAAGTCACTCCTTTTTGTGTGAGGAGGCCCCATGTGAAGAGAGAGTGCAGCATTGTTTGGCTTCACAACCCAGGCAGTAAGTGATGCTGGGGTTTCTGAATGTGCCAGGAGACACGGGCAATTTTGAGCAAAAAGCTCTTCTGTTTAAGGTCAGGCCTAGGGGCCGGCAGGTGACGTGGAGATTAAGGGTGCTGGATTCCCACATGACTGACCGTGGTTTGAATCTGGACCTGGTAGCTTGCTTTCTCGCTTTCCCTTTCTCTCTCTCTCTCTAGCTCTTTCTCTCTGGTCACATGGAAAATAATAATAACAAATGTAATTAAATAAGTAAATAATTAAAGAAAAAAAAAAAGGTCAGCCCTAAACGAGTGCTAGCGAACACATCTGCTCAGATGGTACGTGTGAGAGACAGGTTAACGATGCTGGTTTGGACCCATTCATTGTGCTCGTACAACACTTGCCATTTTCTCACCCCTTTTATTTCTGTTTGTGTTCTTAGTCTTCTTTTTCTTAGCACACTTTAATCCTGATTTTGTATTTATTGCACACAGTGGGTCTAATAATATTTGGAAAGCCCCTCAAGGAGAAGCACAGGGTTGTATGTCCAGGAGCTGGTGAGGCTGGCTGAGAGTGAAATGACCGCCCTTGCTCACCTGGGTGGCTGGAAGCAACCTGGGCTGATAAGGTTCTGCCCTGGATAGAGCTTGATCATACTTCCGAAACAGATCATTTGAATTCGGGGCTGTCTGTGTGAGAACTAGCACCTTTCCCTCGGGGACAACTAATGTACAGGGAAGCCAAGCCTTCTACATGACTAGGCCATATGACCTAGTCCCCTTTTGGAGGCTGCTGATTTTCTCTGCAGAAGGTGGGTTTTTACTGCTCCTTTGGTAGCAGAAATGTTCAGATTCACTCTCACATCCCATTTTGGGACACATGGAGTACCTCATCTCCATGGGGTAGAAGTAGGATTTGGAAATTGTTTTGTTGAAACCCACCTGGCACCCTTGCACCTAGAAGCTAGGCTGGGTGTAACCCGTCCATTGTTGAGTCACCCACTTTGACTTTTTTCTGCTCCATGTGGGCTCCCAGCGCTGGTGAGACCTGGAGTTTTCCCCTGAACCCTATCCTGCAGGAGGCTGATCCTGGTACCACCATCAGCTCTTGACTAGCTTTGCTCTGGGAGTTGTTTTCTTTATGGGGTTTGATGCTGCTGGACTCCTTCCTCAGCTCTTTTGCCTGAAGAATTGTCATCTAGACCTCTTGTGGTTTTGTTCCCCGGGGATCAGGTGCACTTGCTTGCTTCATGTAAGGGTGGAGTTAACCTTAAATTTGCCTCATTCCTTTGTGAATTTAGTACTGGATGCTTTGGCCTCCGAAGCCAGGCTCAGTGTCTGTTCCTGGCTTCCTCCCGTTCCTCACCATCTCATGCTGTTGGGAGCCCCAGAGAGCAAGGAGCTGAGTCCCCAGAGTTACGGCAGAGTTTATGCCAGTAAAGTACTGCTCATCTCTGACGGTGTGAGTTTCTTAACCTGAGAGAAGTGGTCATCACCTTCCTGGCGTGTTTCTGGTTGACAGAACCAAAGAGTCAATTCCTAGCTATTGATAATAATGTTAACTGATAAGGTTTTTCTAGCATTTAATAATTTAGAGAATTCTTTCTCTTGTTTTTGGGAGATAGCAGGAAAGTGATTTACTGGTAGCTAGGCTGGATACCTGGCCAGCATTCAAAGCAATCAAAAGTCTGTTTGATTTTCTGTGCTGAGATAACTTCAGCTTTTCATGTGGGCTATTTGAAAAACTGGAGACGGCTGAGTTCTATTCTGTGTGGAGACCAAGAGATCAGTCTTGTTTTGAAATCTGTGAAAAGAGGAGTGTTTTTTCTACATTTGGAGAGGGAGGAGCTCTTTGGCTGAACATCATACTTTTCTACTAAATAAAACTAAAAGCACGTGTCCCCCCTCTTCTGTCATCTCTCTCGATATGGTTCACTTTTAAGGCCCAGGTGCCCAAGACATTCAAAATCCAAAATTCTTGGTAGAACTAGTTCAAAATTTGGGGAGTCATCCAAGAATGTACTTGACTCGTTGGATAAATGATTTATCCATGGGGCCAGCCTACTGCCTGGGCCGACCACGCAGGTCAAGTGCTAGATCCGAAGGCTTGAAAACACACCAGGTGTGTGTAAATGTGTGCTCAAAATCCTGAAAGAAGTAGAAACAGAGAAGGGATTGCAGCATGGCCATCCACCATGAGAGGTGCTTTTTCACCTTCACCTCCCAGCTAGCACAGACACCCTCTGGAAAATTAAAAACAAAGTTAGTTATTAATGTTTCAGGTCAGTTGACTTCAGTGACTTGACACTTCTATGTGCAGAAGCTGAAGAATGCAGAGATGAGGTAGAGATGTCCGCCTCTCTCTGGTGGCTTGTAGGCCTGTGGGAGTGACGAACCTTTAAACGGGAGCAGTCAAACGATGGCCCGTCAGTGGTAACCTGTTTTTTATGAACTGTGAGTTAATCATGGTTTTTACATTATTCAAATACAAGGTGAAGGGGCCAGCAGATGGCATAATGGCTATGTCGCTGGACTCCCACGTAGTCGACCACGGTTCGAGTCTGGACCCGGCGGCTTAAACTCACACCGAGTCTGTGTGCCCAGAATCTCGAGAGGAGAATGGAGGAGAAGGGATTGCAATGTGTCCATTCCCCCGGAGGGTGATTTCTTGCTTTCTGTCTGTCTGTCTGTCTCTCTCTTTCTGGCGAGCGCACATGCCCTATAGCAAAAACTTCTCCAAGAAAAAAAAAAGGTGAAAAAAATGTGACAGAGATGTGTAGATATGGCCTGGAAAGCCTAAAAAATTTACCATCTGACTTTGGATCCGAACCAGTATCTGCACACCCAGGCAGTGGCAGGTCCCATGACAGAGGTCTGTACTTGGTGCCCTGGGGTCACAGCAGAGCCGGGTGAAATTGCAGAGAGTACTGGGAAGGGCAATAAAAGGGGACGGTCTTGTTGGCCCAAGAAAATAAAGACCTGTCCAGTGAGGCCAGCAGCTCGCGTGGTGGTTAAGGGGCTGGAATCCCCTTGGTTGACTGCAGTTTGAGTCCTAGACTTGGCAGCTTCAAACTCACACTGGGCACGTGTGTGTCCAAAATCCCCAAAGAAGAATGGGAGAAAAGGAATTGTGGCGTGGCCATATCCTCTGGGGGGATTGACTTCTCACTTTCTATGTTTCCAGGGCAAACACACATGCCCTATAGCAAAAAATCTCTCAAAAAAAAAAAAAAAAAGAGAAAAGAAAAAAAAGAAAAACCTATTCCAGAGAGGAAAATAAAGAAGGGCCTTTCAGGTAAATTGTGAGAAAAGGAATCCCGAGTGTTATTTGGGAATCATGGTTGAAAGGAGTGAAAGGTGATTTGGGGCGTAGTGTAAAAGGCAATAGTCACCACGCTAAGAGAGGGAGACTTACGCATCTTGGAAGAGTTTTAGCCATATTTGTTTTGAGATCTCTGAAAGGAGAAGCGCTACTTCTACAGTTTCTGCGTAGAAAAGCACCTCTGCTGGTGTCATAGGGAAGGGCGGGCCTGGGATGCGGTGGTAAAGGGAAACCAGAGGCAGTGAGTATCTGTACATGTCAGTTTGAAACCTGTAATTTAATTCAAACTAAAGTAAGAAATGGAACTCAGACTAAATAAGAAATTAATTTGCTTATGAAAACAGAATTAATTTTTATTTTGGTGTATTAAAAAAACTTCAGGAGCCAGCAGATGCAGAATGGTTACATCGCTGGACTCCCACATAGTCGACCGCAGTTCAAGTCCCAGACCTGGCGACTTGAAACTCACGCTGAGCATGTGTGTATGCATGCCCAAAACCTGGAGAAGAAAATGGAGGAGAGTGGATTGCAGTGTGGCCAGCCCCCCTGGGGGTGGGGGGGTGATTTCTCGCTTTCTGTCTCTCTGAGAAGTGCATGTGCCCTATAGCAAAAACCTCTCTAAAAACAAAACAAAAACTCCAGCCAAATCAAGTAGCATTTGAAAATTAAATATGTTTTATGATATAAAATACACAAATAATATTTATTATGAATAAATAAGAAAATCATAATTATCTCAATAGTAAGAAAGCATTTAGTAATGAAATTTAATATCCATTTGTGATTAAAAAACTTCACAAAATAGGGCTCCCAACAACCAGCATCATATTTAATGTCGGGTCATTAGTGGTGTCGCCAGACATATGCAAATCACCTGCTGAGTTTTGTTTTGTTTTGTTTGTTTTGTTTTGCTTTGCTTTGTTTGCTATAGGGCATGCACATTCGCTGGAAAGAAACAGAAAGAGAGAAAGCACCTCTCAGGAAGCATGACCATCCTGCAATCCCTTCTCCTCCATTCTCTCAGGATCTCAGGATTTGGGGTACACACACACACACACACACACACACGTGCCCGGGTGTATTTTTCAATTTGGCAAATCTGGAATTGAACCACACAGTCAGTCTTGTGGGATCCAGTTCTTTTACCTCATGCCATCTGCTGGCCCGAGTAATTTATTTTTTAAGTATATAGATATCTGGCTGATCCCTTAGTTCTGAGTTAAATCATATATGGAAGATTAAAATATTCTCATAGAACAGTATGTCTAAGCTTTTGCGATTAGTGGTGGAAAATCTCTACCTGCTCTTAACAGAAAAGCCTTTGGGGTTTTATACCTCCAGAGTGGGAAGACCCAGTAGGAGGTGAGGTGTTGATCTGTTCAGGATGTAGATGGACTGGGGCGGAACCAGGAAGCTCGGGAAGGGACATGGTCTGGGAGAAGGTA